AGCACTTACTTTGATAAGACATTGACAAAAATGACACCGTTAACCCAAAAACTAGGTTGCCATCAACAAGCGAAAAAGAAAACCTACTTATGAAGACATTCAAAGTTGGTTATTAACCAGAGCAAACCTTCCACTAGCATTTGTGCTGATGATCTTACTAAATGCTTCATTTATTTAATAATATTCCAAAAGTAGACCTAAATAACAACATTTCTTTCAGTAAGGCCAATTCCATTAACACCCACATAACTCTAAGGACTCTTATCTTGCGTTTAACACCCCACATCAATGCCACCTTTAAATCTGATTCAAATATAAAAGATTTATTGCCAAGCCACTTTGATAAGGAAAACAAATCCAAGGCTATCTTAATGCCAACTAGATTAGTGAATTAAAAGTCTGAAGTACCAATAGACCTTAGAAATGCCTTAAAACATATAAATCAACAAGAATTGAATCGGCTATATTTTTTTTAAATTTCAATGTTTAATGAAAATCTATTTAAATCCATAGTTTTAGTAAAAGAAAACAATTGAAAGCAGGAAATTAGTGCTACAAATTCAAAGTCAAAATTTTATTTAGATAATTATCTAAAAATCTTTAAAATCAAAATTGAATTAACTCTAAGCAGAAATAAATTCAATAATAACAAAAAGCTAACTTGAACTTCATATATATAATGAAATGGGCCAGTTAACATACAAAAGCAAAGTTACTAAGCAAAATCACAACATAAGAAAAGCTTAATATGTAAACAACTTAGATGCAGTAGTAGAAGGACTTAACAACTCAAAAACTCGAAAATAGGAAAATAACATGCAACAAGTTGAATAATAAACAAGAACAATGGTGGAAATCTCAAGTGAAGGTGGTGACTATAAGCCACTTGAGCAATGGTTGGGTCGGTACAAGGAGACCTTGAAACACTTATGGAAGTGAGAATCTTGAGTGCGACACAGTGGCATTGTTTCTAACATGTCAAGTGTAAGGGTTCTTTTGGTGAGGAAAGAGGATGTATTGTAATTAGTGAAGCGAAATGCATTAGAAATAGCAAAGAGAAAAACTAGAGCAGTGCTTGAAATCTTGAGTGCGGTAGCAATGGCACCGTTTCTAACATATCAAGTGTAAGGGTTTTTCTAATGAGAAAAAAAGACGTGTTGCAATAAGTGAAACAAAATGTGTTAGAAGTAGCAGAGAAGAAAACTGAAGCAGTTGTTGATGTGTACATGTTTTGGTGGCAAGCAATCAAGAATAAGAAAAAAGGTGGGGAAAGCAACGGAACATAATGGATGGAAAGGGCTGAGTAGAGAGAGAATTTAGAAGCGTTTTAAAAGTGTTTTTAGGATAGTTTTGACAAAGTTTGTGCTAAGTTCTCCTTATTGTCTTCTCTTTCCAGACTCCCATATTTATATTAGATAGGGGTGCTTTTTTAGGAAAAGTTAGGAGAACATGCTTAATCATGGTAGAATGTGCCTGTTGTGAGACAGTGCATTAAAAAATGGCTTATTAGATATTAAGTTTAACCATGGGAGAATGTGCTAGTAATGGAAGAGCACATTAAGGAATGTAGGATTTTAGGTAAAGCAAGTGTACTTCAAGAAAAGGTTAAGAGAAATTTTCTTAACTACCTCTGTATCTGAGCCATCAAGCCAAGCTTTTTAGAATATCCTAAATGTGAAGATAACTCATAAAACTTGCCACTCGTTTTGAATTACTTTCACTTCTCCATATAAATAGTTGTTCCATACTTGTTCTTAGGCACTTCCATGCTTCGAAGGACCTTAGGCGCTTCCACACTTAAAATGACTCACGGCGCTTTTGCTCTTGGAATGACTTTGGGCACTTTTACGCTTAAAACACTATTAGGCACTTTTGTGCTTGGAACGCCCTTGGTGTAGTGTTTTTATAACACAATATTTCAAAAAATAATAGTTAGTCAAAATTAGGCATTTACATTTTACCCCTTGCATAAAAATTCTTATAAGAAGTTTTATACATAAAATAAGAAGGTGTACATAGAATAAGCAAGACAACGCATATATATATATATATATATATATATACAGATTTGTTTTAAAGAATAAAGAAGAGCTCGTAAATTTATGTACTTATTACTATTATTATTATTATTATTTGTTGTCATTATGCGTTACGTACTTGAGGAACGTTTTTGGGCATTTTCGTGCTTAGAATGGCCTTGGGCATTTCCGCACTTAGAACACCCCTGAGCACTTCCGTACTTGGAACAACCCTGGGCACTTCCATGCTTGGAACGGCATAATGTGTAAGCCACAATAGCAGCCATCTAGTAATGGCACAAAAGCCACAGCCATACAACTATATAGTCAAGTGAAGCCATAGAGAGTAGCTGTTGATATATATGTACGCAGCTTTCAATGGAAATTGTTTCTTTAGGATTAGAAGAAGAGTCTTAAAAAGAATTCAAATCATGATCTACTTTTAAAAATTTCTTTGCGGACATCTCATTAAGGATTGAGAAAAAAAATGGAAAGAATTACAAATTCAAAACATGAACTAACGCAACTCCAATTCATCTTGGAATTTTATAATTGAACAATCTTTAAACTTGCTATGTATTCAAGAAAGGTAGAAATATAGGGAGAGCGAGAGAATGCATAAAAAAATTGTTAACAAAATTTGAAGTGTTTGTTTCCTACATGGATAATAATTCCCTAAAGTTTATAAATAGGAAAAAATAGTTTTGTATAAATTCACAATCACTTTTTCTATAATTTCTCTTTAAGGTTTCTTTGAACAAGTAAGTTGTCATTTTTCTCATAGTTTGTCCCATTAAGCTAGACTCCCCATGCTGCAAACCAGCTATTTGTAATAACATTGTGGCTGCCTTCTTACGTGATTCCTCTGAAAAATCACGTTGATCGAAGAAGTGCTTGTAGCTAAGTGTTTTCATGAGTGAGCTAGCAATGGAAGAGGTAACCATAGTAGTCGCACATGTATCTTCTTCTTGATTGGAAGGAAAGGTAGGCTCTTCTTGAATATTGATAACTGCACGTACACGTCTTTTGGCATTTGGATGAGTAGGGAAAGGATTATTTTGAATCCTTTTGTTTCTAATCAGGACTTCTTTTACTTATGTCTTCTTGTGAAATATCTTATGCATATTTTTGCATTCAGCAAATGGATGACCCACCACGCGATGATAATCATAATACCATGGATTGGACTTCTTTTTTGTCATTTGTGGTTTCTATACATAAGGTAAATTTATTTGTCCATCTTTAATCCATTCTTGAAGGAGTTCGTTTAATTTGTAAGTGGACCTGAGAATGGAGGAGGTACAACAATCTCCTCATCTTGTCTTCTCTTAAAGTTGTTCCACCTTGGCCTTAGGTTTTCTTGGGGACCTCTTTTTTTTTTACCTCCTTTTTGAATTGCATTCACAATTGTGATGTTTCTTCTATTGAAACAATTGGTTTCTTTTACCTAAGGACTGTATTATTGGTTTATCGTACAACTTCAATTAAAGTGACCAAAGTAGAAAGAGGAAAATTTTCCAAATGCACCCTATATTCATCAAACATACCTTAGATGCATTCTTTGACTAACTCTTTTTAATCATGAGAATCTTGTATATCTAATACACATTCACTAAACCACTAGATGTACTCCATAAAATCCTTTCATGACTTCTAATGTTTGCTTTCGAAATTAATGAGAATCACTTTCTTTTGGGTAAAGAAAAACTTGCCCAAACATCCTACACATTGGTTCCAAGAGTCAATTGAACCGGGAGTGAGATTAACATACCAAGTGTAAGCTTTTTTAGTAAGGGACTCAGAGAACTCCTTCAGCTTTAAATCGTCGCCCAAGTTTGCAACTTTAAATGTTTCTATAAACTTCATCACATGTTCTCGAGCATTACCGGTCTTTTCATTGAATTGTTTGAATTTCAAGTTATTGTAATCCTTGGGGTATGACTTAGCTACTACTTTAGCAAAATAAGATAGTTTCAGGTCAAACTCTAAAAAGTTAAAACTTATTCTTTTGATCAACTAGCTTCTCCAACTTTTTCTTTGAGATAAAGCTCTGAGTGTTAGTTGAAGGAGTTATTGTAATAGGATTGACTATAATAGAAAGATTGGTGGTATTGAGGAGTGGGTCAATCATGCTCTTTCCATTTCCCCCATTTTCGTTCATATTGTTGGCCACGTTAGCTACATTTTCAATTGGCATAAGCGGAGGTTGAGAAATTGTGGCTGTTAAGGAAGCAAACTGAGTGATGGTCTCCATCATCTGCTTGTTGTTTTCCACCAACACTTACATTATTTCTTGGGAAGTTTGAAGCATTTTCATGAGATCATGGATATAGGTGGGAATGATCGTTTCTTGGTTGTCGAGGAGAACTCTCCGTATCTTGTAATAAAAAATTGTTCTAAACTCTCCACATTTTTTGAAAAAAAAAAATTTTGGTAAATTTTTTTCACTTACTGTAATCACTCCTTCCTCAATGGAGTCACCAAAATATAAAGGTTCTTCTGGTGAGGAAAGAGGACATGTTGCAATGAGCGAAGCGAAATGTGCTAGAGGCGACAGACAATAAGACTGAAGCAGTTCTTGAAGTGTACGTGCTTTGGTAGCAGGTAGTCAAGAATAAGAAAAAAGGTAAGGAAAGCGGCAAAACCAGATGGATGGAAAGGGTTGAGTAGAAAGAGTATTTTGGAGCACTTTGAGAGTGTTTTTAGAATAATTTCGATAGAGCTTCTACTAAATTCTCCTTATCCTTCTCTTTCCTAACTCTCATATTTATACTAGATGGGAACACTTTCTTAAAAAAAGTTAAGAGAATATATTTAATCATGGGAGAACACATCTATCGTCGAAGAGTGTGTTAAAGAATGACTTATTGGATGTTAAGCTAAATCATGGAAAAACATTAAGGAATTTTAAAGAGCACATTAAGGAATGTAGGATTTTAGGTAAAGCATGTGTTCTTTAAAAAAAGGTTAAGAGGAGTCCTCTTACCTACCTCCATATCTGAGTCATTAAGTCAAACTCTCTAAAACATCCCAAATATACAGATAACTCATGAACCCTACCACTCGTTCTAAGTTACTTTCATTTCGTCATATAAATAGTTGTTACATACTTGCTTTTGGGCACTTTCATACTTGGAACAACCTTGAACAGTTTTGCACTTGGAACGACCCTGAAGGCTTCTGCGCTTGGAACAATTCGGGGCGTTTTCATGCTTGGAACGCTCCCAAGTACTTATGTGCTCGGAACACCCTCGTATAGTTTTTCTGTAACACAATACTTCAAAAAAATAGTTAATCAAAATTAGACATTTACATCAGTAATTTATGAATATTTATGGAAAACTAAAATACAATAAAAGTTCCCAACAACCAAGACAAACCAGATGTTGCACAAGACTACTCGAGGGGCGAGTCAATGACTGAGCAAGCAACCAGTCCAGAGTTGCAGAGCAACAAAATGTATCTGAAAATTCAAGCAAATTAGAGAAAGCTTGCTTGTGAAGAGAGGGTAAGCTCTTGAAGGGAAGACGAGAATTGAATAAGCTTAGATTAGAGAGAGAAGTAAAAAACTTGATAATGGCAGTGTATTGAGAAGCCCAAAGACCCGCTGCCATCCTCATCTCCAGAAATCACAGGAAGCCGCAATGACGGACAAAGGGCACTGACAGAGCAATCTTAAGGAAAGCAAGCATTGATGATGAGGGCTTGATGTGAAAGAGGAGATAGGAGGGAATTAACCAAGCTCCTCAGCTAGTAATTATTTAAACCCCAAAAGATTTTCCAAGAAAATTTTATTAATAAACAAATTTCCGAGGGTTACAGCAATTGCCAGAGGTAAAATGAAAACTGTCGTTAAATAGCCTATTTTTTGTAGTGAAAGAACCAAGAAATGGTTCCATGGCTACAATAATATGAACTGGCATTGCTTTATTTGCAATTCAACTGTTTCGACACAATTTTTGTGACTATCAGCTATGTATCATTCAAGTAAATGTGTACACACAGAGTCCTTACATGCCTCTATGCAGAGATCCAAAGCCAGCCTCCTATATCCATCAGCTACAATAATATGAACTGGCATTGTTTTTTTTGCAATTCAACCGTTTTGAAACAATATTTGTGACTATAAGGTATGTATAATTCAAGTAAACGTGTACTCACAAAGTCCTCCACATGCCTCTGTGCTGAGATCCAAAGCCAGCCACCTATATCCTCCTTTACATGAGGCCTACTCACCTTCACCTACCCCATGAGACTATTACCTTTACCTCGATAACCAACAAATGTAAAGTGCTTTCAAATCCAGATTTATTGCACAAGCAGTTTGAGAAACCCTCGAGTTATAGTTTCTGTGGACATAAGATTCCTCACAATGTGTCCTTATTTGGTTTCTCATTTAATAATGACATTAGCAATTTTCTTCCATTGTTGCCAGTTCCTTTGAATGAAGCAGGCTGCTGCAAAAAAGGACTCAAACAAGGAATCCTTGTTTATAGAAGCAAGGCTTAGAGAATCGAATAAACCTGCCTCATTATAGACCTTCAGATTTTAGTGGTGAATCCTCGGTAAAAAGTGTTTTTCTTACATTACCATGTAGTTTTTCAAGAATCCTCCAAGTTACAGCATCTGGTTCAAGCCCATTCTTTCTCATTTCTCCCACAATTTGATAAGCTTCTTTTCTCAAACCCAACTTGCAGGCTTTGTCAATCACAATGTTGAAGCTCACAATATTTGGAGTGACCCCAGAATCAACCAGTTCATATAAGAAATGACAAGCTTGATTAAAATGGCCAGTGTGGCATAGCCCTTTGAGAAAAGACGCATACACAAAATCATCATGAATTTGTGAAGGCCATATAACATCATCCCAAAACTTCTTAGCCTCCTCTATTTGGCCGGATTGCAATAATCCATCGACAACTATAGCATAAGTGGTGCTGTTGGCAGTCACGCCTTCATTTACCATGCAATTATATACCCCCATTGCTTCATTTGCACGTTGGGTTTTAAACAAACCACGAAGAACTGCATTATATGTAACAACACCAGGTCTTAAACCCCTTTCAGGCATTATCTGATTTAATACATCAAGAGCTTCTACTGTTCTTCCTACATCTAATAAACCACAGATGACCGTAGTGAATGTCACTTCATTTGGAGCAGAAAATTTCCCATTTGTCATGTCACTCAGTACCTTCAGAGCTTCATCCATTCTTCCCATTTTGCGAAACCCATTGATAACTGTGTTTAAGCTAATCACATCAGGTAGACACTGGTTCTGAAGCATAGAAACAAGTTCATTTAAAAGCTCGGTTGGGTTGTTATTTATGAGGCAAAGAGCTCGTAAATATATATTGTAAATTCTAGTTCTGTCCAGGCCTTTCTTATTCAACATGAACTGTAAAACTTGCCTCGCTTTATAGAAGTCAGATTCTCGGCAAAGCCCTTCTACTAGAATTTTGTACGTGTGCTCGGATGGCAAGTATCCAAACTCAATTCCTTCCTCAAACAATTGATAAGCTCTCATACAACCTCCTTCCTTACAAAGGCCATGAATAATGCAATTATAAGAAACTGAGCTCGGCACAAAACCTTTCTTTCGCATCAAGTAAACAACCCTAGAAGCGCCGTGGTTCCTTCCAGCTCTACAAAGCGAATCGATCATATGACCATAAGCAAACTCCTTACTTACACTCTGCCCTTGAGGCATGGTTTCCGCAATTCTAAAAACTTCATTGAAATACCCTTCTCTACATAAACAATCGATAAGATTAGCAAATGCTGCCGCGTTCACGGCCGGCTCCTCCTTTTCATCCTTCATTCTATCCCAAAGCTTGTCCATCAACTCCTTCCCGTAAGCAACGTCTCTTTTCATAAAAACCCCACCAATAAGGACACTATAAGTAAGCGAATTTGGAAACACCCCGCAGTCACGCATTTCATCAAACAACTTAAAGCCAACACCTATATCACCAATTCCGACATACCCACCAATCAAAGTAGTGTAAGTAACAGCATTGGGCAATTGTCCCTTACTCTTCATATCAAAAAACAACCTATGCGCAATATCTACGCGTAAATCCGCACAAAACTGATCGATTAGACGGTTGAAGTTTGTTAATGAAGGCACGAACTGAGGCTTGTATTTAAGTAAAGAACGTATAGCATGCAATGTGGAATGCGGGGTTTTGGAATGGAGCAAGCGAGCAATGAGAACATTACAGGTCCGTTCATCAGGGATTAAATGAGAAGACAAGGAGAGAACAAAGCGATGGTGAGCCTCGGAGAACCGGTTGGAATCACAAAGGGCGTGGATAATGCTGCTGAGGTTGAGGGAATCGGGGCGGTAGCCGTGGAGGCAGAGGGTGTCAAGCAGGCGAAGGGCTTCGTCGACGTTCCGGTGCTTGGTGCAGAGGTTGTGGATTTTCGTGGTCCAGTATGGCTTGTTGGCGATGGGTTGTTGGAGATGTGGTGGAGAAGAAGTTGAAAAGTGAAATGCAAGAGGGGAGGTTGGGGACTTGGGAAGTGATGGGAGGTTGAGTTTTGTGAGGATCATAGTAGCTTTGCATGCTTCGACAGAGGTTTTTGAGTTGGTGGCGAGCATCATGCAACTACACTCATCTCTACTCGAGGAAACAAGCCCCGAAATCTGTTGATTTTAGCTGTCCAGGCATCCGCCTGGGACGAAGAGGCTCATAAGCCCGGTCCAACTCGGTCAAGTTTGGAAATATGTTATTTAAGTTTAAGATTGACTCGGTCCGGTTTGAAATACAGGTTAATCTCTTTAAATTAAACTTGCTAAATTAAAAATCTTGATTAAACAATATTTTTAATCAGTCTTGACTTACTACCAATATGATAAATTAATAATTCACTAAATTTATAAGATAATATATTTAAAAAAAACACGTAAATCTCACTTATATAAATTAATAATTTCTTTACAAATCAAAATTATATATATACATAACTCAATTATGTGGTATTTGTAAAATATGAGTATAATGTTACTTATTTCTTATTGAAATTGATGTCTCTATGGACCTTATCTTTAACTTTTCTTAATGCATTGAGAAGTTTTGGGATAATATTCTCATTTTGCAAAGAAAATTGTTAACAATACATATATACAGAGTTTAATGTTTTGTAAAAAAAATACCTTGATAAATTAATTTTTTATTAATTGATGGATAAATTAATAAACTATTAATTTATCAATTAAATAATATATTAAGTTTTTAAGTTTAAGGTTGACTTGGTCCAATTTGGAGTTTGTATTATACCAATCAATAATATATAATTTATTCATTTTTTTATTTAAATTATCAAAATATTTTAACTATTTTAATAATAAAACATTACTTCCGTCTCAAAATAATTTTCCTTTTTTGATTTTTAAAGTTTAATTTTGATTTAAATTATATTAAATCTTTTAATATATATATCTATAAATTACTTTGATAATGTTTGGTATGAGCGAAATGCACTTATATTCTTTACAACGTATCCAATTAAATTACATTATTGTATTTATTTTTAAACAAGCCAATACAATGTAAGATTGCAATGCAATCACATTACCATCAACGGATGTAATGTAATTGTACAAAAAAGTCAATATAATTTCATGTTGCATTTACTCTTCGATGTTATCAAATTTGATTTGATATTTTTGGCTTTATTTATTTGAAAAAATAACTAAAAATCCTTTTTAATTGAACCTGTTGTGAAATCCCACTCTAATGTAAAGTGCTAAGTTAAGAAATTATTAGGTGCGCATGATGATTTTGTGTTTTGAACATTCAGAACTAAGTTTTAATGTTGGAAAAATTTATGGTTGGATGATTTGATAAATTTGGTGTTAAAAGGAGTCCAATTAGACATTAAGGTTTATTTTTGCTCACTATAGCCAATCTATTAATAGGTATTTTTCATCTGTCGATAGATACAATCCAGAAAGATTTCCTTAAAGTAACCCTAAAAAACATCTATAGATAAATGACCAGATCTATCTATAGATAGTCAGATCTATCAATAGATGGCCTAATCTATCGATAGATAACGCCATCTATTAATAAATTGCAGCCAAAATGCTTTTAGAAGAGCTCTTAAACCTATCTATTGATAAATAGTGTCAATTTATCAATAGATGACACCATTTTCTGAAAAATAAAAGAGGTAAAAGTGTGTTTTCTCCTCTAAAACTATAAATACATCACATCTTTCAATAGTTTTAACTTTTAGCCAGTTTTCAAAGGTAAAACCCTAACTTTAAACCCTCTTAACTCATTTTTTATCATTCTAAACTTGGTTTTGGATTTTTGAGAAACATGTGACACTTTTAAGCTTTATAATCTTTAAATCCTATCTTTTTTATTCTAAAAATATAGTTTTCTTGGCTAGAAATTCTATTGAAGTGATTAAGCTTAAGGTTTTGTGGTTTTAATTAACATCTAAGCTTACCTAGCTAAGAATAATGAGTTTATCAATTTTTTGCATATGGGTACTTACAGAGTAGCGAATTCAAGCTAGAAAATTAATTTTTGTTAAATTCAAATAGTTTCAAAAGTACCTAAAGTGATTATTACAATATTAATATTTTAGGTAATGATTGTGCTGATTGTTGTATGTTAGGAACACTTGAAAACTCTTTTGATTACACCGAAACAAAGTCATGATTGGAGCTAGGAATTGAATCTCCAATTAAGTGAGTGAATACACCTTTTCAAGTATTTTAATATATAAAGGTAGTATGGTTTCTATAGAAATGATTATTTATGCATGAAGAAATATTGTTTCCAATGATGGTTTAAGAAAGAATTTGTTATTTAGGTTTTCCAATGGATTTCAAATAGTATGTTTAAAGAAATGGATTTGAAAATGATTTGTGATATGAGATGACACAATAGTTTTCAAATGGGACATTTTAGAAAATAACCCTTAAAGATAAGATGTTTTCAAAAATAGCCTTCTTTATAATTTTAATTATTTTTAACCAAGTTTGACAAAATTACCCTTAATAAAATTACATGCCATGATGTTACACACTATGTACAAAAACATGTTACACGCCATGATTAAGTTGTTACACGTCATGGTTAAGTTGTTACATGCTATTGTAAAAAAAATACTATTGTTATACGCTATGTACAAAAACATGTTACACGTCATGGTTAAAAAATGTTGTTATATGCCATATTAAAAAAAATATTGTTATTACACACCATGTTAAAAAAATATTGTTGTTATACGCCATATTCAAAAATATTTTATTACATTTTAATGCCTAAACTGTTGTTATTACTTACAAACTAAAACTTCAAATCCTCTCAACTTTTTTTATTTCTTTTTGTTTCTTTGACAATTTAGTATTGATTAAAGTGTTTCTAACATGTTTTTATAAAT